ACAGTTTAACCTAGACATATGAGGACGTGTTTAACCTAGACATATGAGGACGTGTTTAACCTAGACATATGAGGACGTGTTTAACCTAGACATATGAGGACAGTTTAACCTAGACAAATGAGGACAGTTTAAGCTAGACATATGAGTACGTGTTTAACCTAGAGATATATGAGGACGTGTTTAACCTAGGGATATATGAGGACGTGTTTAACCTAGGGATATATGAGGACGTGTTTAACCTAGAGATATGAGGACGTGTTTAACCTAGGGATATATGAGGACGTGTTTAACCTAGACATATGAGGACAGTTTAACCTAGACAAATGAGGACAGTTTAACCTAGACATATATGAGGACGTGTTTAACCTAGAGATATATGAGGACGTGTTTAACCTAGACATATGAGGACGTGTTTAACCTAGATATATGAGGACGTGTTTAACCTAGACATTTGAGGACGTGTTTAACCTAGACATATGAGGACAGTTTAACCTAGACATATGAGACGTGTCTAACCTAGACATATGAGGACGTGTTTAACCTAGACATATGAGGACGTGTTTAACCTGGACATATGAGGACGTGTTTAACCTAGACATATGATGACGTGTTTAACCTAGACATATGAGGACAGTTTAACCTAGACATATGAGGACGTGTTTAACCTAGACATATGAGGACGTGTTTAACGTGGAAATATGAGGACGTGTTTAACCTAGACATATGATGACGTGTTTAACATAGACATATGAGGACATTTTTAACCTAGACATAGGAGGACGTATTTAACCTAGACATAGGAGGACGTATTTAACCTAGACATAAGAGGACGTGTTTAACCTCGGCATATGAGGACGTGTTAACCTAGACATATGACGACAGTTTAACCTAGACATCTGATGACGTGTTTAACCTAGACATATTAGGACGTGGTTAACGTAGACATATGAGGAAGTGTTTAACCTAGACATATGAGGACATGTTTAACCTAGACATATGAGGACGTATTTAACCTAGACATATGAGGACGTGTTTGCCATAAGCCAATACGACAACCTTGTTTACACTTGTACATGTGCATAAGTTATATAAAATATTATGGTGTTAGTCTGCTGGTACATTTTCAGGGGTCTTTGCGTATTTCTTTCCTATTTTAAGTTTTACGCTGGATTCACCGTCCTTCTTGATAATAATTTAGCTTTTTCGTTTGTACTCTGTTTATGCCTTCCTTCAGCACGTCCATGGTGGTACACAGCGTACTAAAACCAGCAGACACACGGAATGTTTTGTAGAAACCTAACCCCGTCACATGCTGATAATTATGTAGTGTAATTCACCATGGGTAGTTAGCCTGGTACATTGTATTTGGGTTAATACTACCATCACGTTATCGGCCTCTTAACAAGTGCAACATAAGCTAGTGGTTTTGAACATGTACTTTTTTACGAACTATAAGGTTTAAAAGATGAATGAAAGAAAATAAATATCGTTTGGAATGAATATTATTACAATATAACCATACCTAGGGATAAAATCATAATGTCAAGTTTCCATCATAAGTTATCATTAAAATGTTATCAAATTAGAGTCATATACATCGGGATATCCGGCACATATCTTGTCCCGCTTTATATTATTTTATGTACATTTAGAAATATGTATTGATCTGCTTTAATGTGATGGTGATACTACCTTATAACTGTTAGTTAGGACCGGTAGTGTTAGAACTTAACGTACGTGCACTTCCTGTTTCTTAATATACGAAACTTTGTGTGTGCATGTGCCCTCTTGAACTTAAAATAAAGAGAAAATTCACGAATTTAAAATGCTGCATGGCTGTTGTGGCATTTCCCTGATTATCTCATGTGATCAGGGGAATATGCTGAGTCAACATTTCATACGCTCTAGTTGTATACTCAGGCGCGAATTTAGGGGGGGGGGGNCAACCCACACATAAAACTTTTGAAACTTTTGCCACCTAAATATCCAACCAGCAGGCCCCGAGGCATTCACCTTCCTATTAAATCTTCTGCCCAAAAGGGAAAAGCCCACAATCTATTTTTTATCTGTTTCCGTGGTCCCTTTAAGTAATGTGTGCATGCTACTCAAACTTTGTTATTGGCTGTCTGTCCTCCAGTGTTGATATTATTATCGCTTAGGTCATTTGAGTTTAGATTCAAGTACTGTTAGTTCAATAGATATAGCTTTAACCTTATTATGGATCGATGTCCTCTGCTCAACGTGCAGCATTTTGTATTAAACTCAAGACAGGTTTACTGTTTTCAATATCTGTGACGAGATGAGACACTGTGCTGGGTATCAAACGGAGGCAAATCAACCAACCTACCCGGCCTTCTGCACTAATGGGAACATTTCATACATAGAGATACGCTCTTAAATGTCTTTGTCTGTGTATAGGACGCTTTACCCAATTAATCAACCAACCAATCACATGTTACATTTTACACAACGGATTATTGATTAAATAAAACTGCGCGACAAATGTTATCGTGCAGGTGTGTTATGAGAAATTATACAGAAATTATGAACGAAAGATTATGATAATATATTGGTATATATTTATCTAAGCACTGGTATATAAACTAGGGAAGATAGTACATGCCCGGAGCCGTTGTAACGTTGACAATGGATCCCAGTGGAAGATGGAATAGGGGTCAGTACCATTAACTCACCTTGTCCGAAGGACCTAAGTGGTCTCAATTCGTACCTTGGCGTCCGTCGTTCGACCAAATCAGGTCACTGTAACCTACTTCCAAAAAACAGACCTACGTTATTTTAGATTGTCAATTGTCATTAGCTCATCAAATAAGGTCGCTGTGTCCTACTTTTGAAACAATGACCTGCATTCCTTAAAATGTCGCAGGGTTAAGAAATGACCTTGGAAGTGTTGTATCGCATAATTAGGAATATGTGACCTACTTTTGAAGAAAAATTACCTACATTAATTAAAATTGTTATTGGGTCAGAAAGTTGTTATACTCAACAAGGTCACTGTTACCTGATTTTGTTAAATTTCTCACCTCTGTGACCATTTCTCATAATGAAAGTCAAACTTCAAGAATAAGGTCACAGTAACCTTATACTGTCTAACAATTGTTAAATGTTTATATCTGATCTCTGTGACCATTTTTGATAATGAAGGTCAAATCTTCAAATCTAGGTCACTGTGACCCGATTCGATCAAACAATAGTTTGATGTTAAATTTCTAAACCTGATGATTATTGTTTACAAAAAAGTAGGTCAAAGTGACCTCATTAGGTCTAACATCCGTACTGAGTCAATTTCTAAACTGAATGGGTTTTTTTTGTTGTTGTTGTAAATGTCAACTTCTTAGAAATATGTCACATGCCATCATTAATTTAAATATAAGTGGATATCTTAAATCAGTCTTAATCGCTCGTATGGTTCACGTTTCAACTGGGTCCGTTTTAAACGGGTATGAGCAAATAACATTGAGTTAGGTTTCGATTCCCACGGCTTTGCAGTCCGATATTCAACGTTAGACCTGACCCCGGTTTCATTTTTTCACGGGGGTCTATTATCAACGCGTTACACTGGAAGGTAAGCGTTCGTATGCATTGTAAACGAGCTTTAAAGTGGACGCCCTTGTAAAGAAATTGTGAGAATGCCACTGTATCTTACTTCTGCATACAGCTGCATTTGTTAGTGTAATTCTTTAATCATTTTCTGCTTAAATGTAAGCTAAGTTTTTAACTAGTTGAAGTGCATCAGCAATGCAATAATATATTTTACCACACAAAAAGGAATATAATATCGCTGTTTGGCCTTAAGTACATACAAACGCATTGAAAGCAATTGAGCAAGATTTTACTGATATCTGTTGTACCGACAATGTACAATTTTCAGAGTTGTTAAGCATTTGTATTGCCTGAAATGTTGGCAATGTGCAAATTGTCTATCAACTACATTTTGACAACGGTGAAAAAGGTAATTAAAGGGCGCTTCAGTGTTACTAAATATAGATTATGTCATCGTTTATTCGTTTGTTCTCTAGAACTCTATGAGCTGTTCCGAATCAAAGCAGAGAAAAGAAATGTACTGTAGTTTTTATCATGTAGTAAACAAGCTGGCGCACAGATGGTGGTATTTAAAGGTCATATTTCCTCTTATATTATAATATAATCTTTATTTATTTTACAACAATTATGAAACAAGTTATTTCAACTTATAATAGTCACTCTTGTTTGCCCGAATGTTAGCGCGTGAGGGGTCTTAGTGTGGGAGGAAACCGGAGTACCCGGAGAAAACCCACATGGTCGGGCAGGTGACCCCAACCTTTTCACGTCCGATCGGGGAATCGAACCCGGGCCACTGCACCACCCGACCACCCTCCAATATTGCCAGTACAGTACAAAGCACGGTCAGCTTATTTGTCAAAATATGCTTAGTAATTAGGTTTAAATATACTTGTTAAAATGTGCTTAGTAATTAGGGTTAAGGTAATGAGAATATCACGTTGTCTTGAATATCTTTTAGTCATCTGTTATATCATTATGCATGTATTAAGAGAGTCAGCGTTTTGACATCAACCTTCAGCGTAGACTTTGCCGCATTTTCGTTTAAATCCACACAGATTCAGGATATGTAGATTTCTGTTTATTTCAGTGAAAGAAACGTTATGCTGATCTTCGTTTCTGCTTTTATAGCTGATTTTATACACACACTGTTTTATTTAAGGAACTCAATAGGAAAGTCTGCATCATTTGTGATCATCAACATAATATACAAGTCGACTCCATGACAAGATAATCTATACTATTCGAGTCAAGAAATTACATGTAATAAATGTAAGTAGTTTTTATTTTGGAGTGTAAAAGAAGTAATTAATGGTAAATGTTCTGTTCATAACTGAAATAGTTATGTTTTGGGTTTTATTTTGTTTTATTCGTCAATTAATCTAAATTTGCTTTTCCGTGTGTCATTACGTCGTCTTTGACATGTATTATTGCTCCTTCAGAGTAAGCCGGAGGAAGTGAAGACGGCCGTTCGGACCGCCATTGATTGTGGATACCGCCTCATCGATACAGCTTACAACTACGTCAATGAGGACGCGATAGGTGAAGTCGTAGAGGAGGCTTGTAAGGCAGGAAAACTGAAGAGGGAGGATATGTTTATTTGTACTAAGGTAACAAACTAGATTGCTTTTATCGTCAGGTTAAACGTGTTTGTGAAAACTGCATATTACCGTTGGAGAACAGCATATTACAAATGGGTAACTCGTTTTACTGTAATTGAACTAAAGGTATAATTTGTAACAGCATTTACCGTAGCCGTTCAAGTTCACATGTTAGATGCGAACGCTGCACAAAGGTTTTACAAGTGGTAAGCAAACGCTACGTGTGAAAAATTAATGCAACATAATAGTCATCTCGCAGAAGAACAGCAAATGTGTACGGACATAAGCCCACACCCCTCTCCCTCTATTAACACCGGAAATAACTAGTCTACTTCAAAATAAGACATGCAATCTTTACAATACATATATACTGTATATATGAAAAAATCTTGGTTACATCGCAAAAACATTTAGTCCAGTAAAAAGATATTTTCCCTTTAACGAAATGAAAGTTTTTAATATTGGTTGCTATAACGACATAAACAATTTAATACTTTTCACTTTACAATCATATATAAAAGAAAAATGAAAATACATGTGTACCTGGTATTATACATATATGAAGGGGAAATGAATGACACTGTTTTGGCATTACGATTCTAACGGTAAATAACAAGGTGTTATTTTAAGTTTCATTATTAACCAACTAATGTTTTCCGTGATACGCTATTTAAGCTAAGAATATGACATATTTCTTTATTAAAAGTGTTACATTATAGAGCAAGTGTTCTGCTTTACAACAGTAACGTTGTTTTATCATTCCGTTTGATGTAATATATCCCAGGTTCAAAAGCATGTTCGTATGGTTATTCAAGTATAATGTATACAATTGTAAACTATTTATTAATCAAAAAGTTCATATCTGTATTCACGTAATTCAGTAAACATGATTGTAAGTTAAACCCATCTAATGTTTGTAATGAGTAAATATTGATCATAAAAAGTTAAATATCAAGTATGGTACAATGCATATCTATCCTTTTTAGCTCGGCAGTATCTACACCCGACCTTCGGATGTCGCATTTTCTATGTCCGAGAGTCTGAGAAAACTTCGGATGTCTTATGTTGATCTATTCCTGATACACACTCCTATGGCGTTTAAGGTAATTATATAAACACATTGGTTTATGTACACTTGATTTTTTTTAAATTTCTTTTCACGTACAGTGTAATAAAAAAGTCTTCTGATAATATTTTAAAATCTTGTAATAATACTTTATTAGATATTCTGATAGACAAAAGATTGTAAATTGCTATCTATATGATACCATCCAACACATTATATCACTTTTACTGAACTGACCGTTATATTATGCTCGTTTATTGTTCGTGTCATCCTATCACCTATAGACACACTAATTTATGCAGTCTTTTCCCGGCCAATATGTTAATATGCGATTGTTTTAGAAACCTGAGGATCCCAACAATGTTTTCCCCGTGAAAGATGGCCGTCTGGACACTGAACAAAAGGTAGACATTGAAGGGGTTTGGAAGGTAAGTGTTATCTACCACTTGTTTAACAATTCCTAGTACCGTGTGCTAAATATGTTAACTGGAACAGTCCCACTCATACCACACGTCTTATATAACCTATTTAGAGATATTTTGGCAAACTGAATATTATTTATATTTCGTTTGAAATAATGTGTTTTTGCGTAAAAATTGTGTAAGACATAAGTCAAATTTAGGGCAACATGTGACCAATAATTAGCACACGACGTTAAACATAACATACCAAAATATTCGTTGATCACTAACAATAACAAAATTGTAAAATATGTCTTCGACAGTTTAAATAATTACTTATATTTGGTAAATCTTATGACATTGATATCCATATCTAATAATAGAAATGAATATATACGGATTAGAATATAATCTTTTATTTCTAGCTGCCCTTCCTGAGTATCTGGTTTCTTTACACCTTTAGCTGGCAATGTGTTCCTATTGTGTTGATGTCTTCCCTGACAATATGTTCCTATTGTGTTGATGTCTTATTTTACAGTGTGTTCCTATTGTGTTGATGTCTTACCTGACAGTGTGTTCCTATTGTGTTGATGTCTTACCTGACAGTGTGTTCCTATTGTGTTGATGTCTTACCTGACAGTGTGTTCCTATTATGTTGATGTCTTACCTGACATTGTGTTCCTATTGTGTTGATGTCTTACCTTACAATATGTTCCTATTGTGTTGATGACTTACCTGACAGTGTGTTCCTATTGTGTTGATGTCTTACCTGACAGTGCGTTCCTATTATGTTGATGTCTTACCTGACAGTATGTTCCTATTGTGTTGATGTCTTCCCTGACAATATGTTCCTATTGTGTTGATGTCTTACCTGACATTATGTTCCTATTGTGTTGATGTCTTACCTCACAGTGTGTTCCTATTGTGTTTATGTCTTACATGGCAGTGTGTTCCTATTGTGTTGATGTCTTACCTGACGGTGTGTTCTTATTGTGTTGATGTCTTCCCTGCCAGTGTGTTCCTATTGTCTTGATGTCTATCCTGACCGTGTGTTCCTATTGTGTTGATTTCTTATCTGATAGTGTGTTCCTATTCTGTTTGTCTTACCTGACAGTGTGTTCCTTTTGTGTTGATGTCTAACCTGACATTGTGTTCCTATTGTGTTGAGGTCTTACCTGACAGTGTGTTCCTATTTTGTTGATGTCTTACCTGACGGTGTGTTCTTATTGTGTTGATGTCTTCCCTCACAGTGTGTTCCTATTGTGAGGTAAGACATCAACACAAAAAGAACACACTGAAAGGTAAGACATCAACACAAAAAGAACACACTGAAAGGTAAGACATCAACACAATAGTAACCCACTGTCAGGTAAGCCATCAACATAATAGGAACACACTGTCAGCTAAGACATCAACACAATAGGAACACGCTGTCAGGTAAGACAAACACAATAGTGTGTTCCTATTGTGTTGATGTCTTACCTGATAGTGTGTTCCTATTGTGTTTGTCTTACCTGACAGTGTGTTCCTATTGTGTTGATGTCTAACCTGACATTGTGTTCCTATTGTGTTGATGTCTTACCTGACAGTGTGTTCCTATTGTGTTGATGTCTAACCTGACAGTGTGTTCCTATTGTGTTGATGTCTTACCTGACAGTGTGTTCCTATTGTGTTGATGTCTTACCTGACAGTGTGTTCCTATTGTGTTGATGTCTCCCCTATATCTAGTTTCCTTACCGTAGTGTTTGTGTGTGAGTTGACATTGTGTTCCTATTGTGTTGATGTCACCCCTGTATCTAGTGTCTTTACCGTAGTGTTTTTGTGTGAGTTGACAATGTGTTCCTATTGTGTTGATGTCACCCCTGTATCTAGTTTCCTTACCGTAGTGTTTTTGTGTGAGTTGACAATGTGTTCCTATTGTGTTGATGTATCCCCGATATCTTTTGTTGTCATTACCCTTTGTGTCAGTGTCTCTTTAGGCTATGTTGCTGTCTTTCATTTTAGTTTCGTGTCTCAACAGTTCCTTTTATTGTCTTTACTTTTAGTTTGGTGTCCGGTCGCTTTCTGTTCTTGTCTTTCTAATGATTCATTGATTCTGATTTTTTCTTTTGTTGTTTCGCTTTGTTTTAATGTCTCTGTATTTTTGTCATATTCTTCTTAGTTTCTGATTTTAGCTTTATTTTAGTTTAAGTGTCTCCTCAGTTTTATTTGCCGTCGCTTTAAGTTCCTTTTGTTGTCTTTACCTTTGGTTTGATGTTTCAACAGTTGATGTTTTTGTTTATTATAATGTTTCATTATCTCCTCTGTTGTTCGGGTGACCTTAAGTTCGGGTGAACTTTAGTTCGGGTGACCTTTAGTTCGTGTGGACTTAAGTTCGGGTGACTTAGGTTCGGGTGACCTTTAGTTCGTGTGACCTTAAGTTTGGGTGACCTTTATTTCGGGTGACTTAGGTTCGGATGACCTATAGTTTTGCTGACCTTTAGTTCGGGTGACCTGAAGTTCGGTTGACCTTAAGTGCGGGTGACCTTTAGTTCGAGTGACCTTAAGTTCGGGTGACCTTTAGTTCGGGTGTCCTTTAGTTCGAGTTACCTTTATTTCGGGTTACCTATAGTTCGAGTGACTTTAAATTGGGGTGATCTTTAGTTTGGGTGACCTTTAGCTCGAGTGACCTTTATTTCGGATGATCTTTAGTTCGGTTGATCTTAAGTTCGGCTGACCTATAGTTCGAGTGACTTATAGTTCGGGAGACCTTAAGTTCGGGTGACCTTTACTTCGGATGATCTATGGTTTAAGTGACTCCTTAATTTTTGGTCAATGTCTCCTTAGCTTTTCTCGTCTTTTCTTTTTGTTGTTGACTCATCAGCTTCTGTTTTTGTTTCAGTGTTTTTTCAGTTCCTAATGTGGTATTCGCTTTGCTTTAGTATCTTCTAAGTTGCAGTTGTTGTATTCCTTTTGAATTGATTTTTCATCAGTTCCTGTGTGGTTTTTCGTTTTGTTTCAGTGACTCCTCGATTACTTTTGTCAGTGCCTCGTAGGTTTCTGTTGCTGTCTCTCCAACTGATTTGTCTTCTAACCAACTCACAGCATCTGCACTATCATTTGATTTCAGGAAATGGAAAAACTCGTCGATCAAGGAAAGACTAAAAGTATTGGCATATCAAATCTGAACGCCGCACAGTTGGAGCGCATTCGTAAAGTCGCACGCATAATGCCAGTCACTAACCAGGTATATACATTTTGATCGAATTTATATATGATATTCACTAAATCTGTCCTTTGATATCAGTCATCACACAATCGTTTATAATTGTCGGTCTTAGTTGTAAATCAAAACTTCTATAAAGGGTTCTAAAAATATTTATTCTTATTGTTTATTTATTGTTAAATGTATGTATCATATTTCTTAAAATGATATGAAGATTTATTGAAATTTTATACTTATTGTCCCCTAAATGGAAAGAAGTACAATGTACAAAACTTTATACTTATTACCCCTGAATCAAAAGTAAGTAATTCATACGAAACTGCTTTTAAGCTCACCTGTCCCGAAGGGCCAAGTCCGTTGTCCGTCGTCCGTCGACTTTTTCCTTTAAAACGCTACTTGTCCTTAACGGCTGAGACGATTTTGACCAAATTTGGTCTGGAGCATCATTGCCCTAAGGGTTCTCAGTTTTGTATAAACGGTAGGTGCCTCGGGGCAGAGGGGTGGGGCAATATAGGGGGAAAATAGGTAAATCTTTAAAAATCTTCTTCTCAACCAATAGAAGGATTTTGACCAAATTTGTTCTAGAGCAATTGTCTATATACTCCTTCAGGTCGAGTGCCATGCCTACTTTCCTCGGACCGAACTTGAGGAGTACTTGAAAAAGTATAACATGCCGATCATGTCTTATGGACCAATCGGATCGCCAGGGAGATTAGCTTTTAAAAGGTGAGTTTTAGTTTCGTGTTGGTTTTGTCTTATTCTGTTCACTGTCCTATTAACAGCTCGGGTTATTTAAGGACGTGCTTCAGTGTGTGTTTTGAATGCGTGCATGTGTGTATGTGTGCTGGAAACAGGGTATGTTGATGTAATTGTCTCCTAGTGCACAACTGACGTCCAACTTTAAAGTGCTACAATATATATGTATCTCACTGAAATGACATGCTTAAGGCACCCAGCACAGCATTCAGCCCGACCATGTTATACTGACGGTGAACCCGTTGCTGCCATTACTCTTAATGCTAAACGTTAAGCAAGAAATAACAACTACCATTTTAAAAGACTTTGGTATTCTAGGCCTGTGGACAGATATACCTGGGCGAACGCTCACCAATAAAGCTAGAAGTAAAGTAATGTCACGCAAAGCACTAGGAAATAAAAATGATTTAGATGCAGAGATAAATATGCAGATCCCAAATACTGCAATGGGGATCCCCCCCCCCCCCCCCCCCCCCCCAAAAAAAAAAAAATTCTGCAGGGGCTCATCATTTGTCGCCTTTTACCATGTAAACAGTTGGGAACAGCAGGTGTATTCTTTTCTCGATCCTCGACCTGAAGAAACTTGTATGTATTGAATTTGCATTATCTTTAAAAATGAATCAAGTGATGACAACGGCAGAAAAACTAATTTAAATCGTACAAATAGCATAGTTACTTGTCCCATTACTTTGAAATATAACATGATGGAATGGATACGCAAACAAAAAGCCTTCCAAACAGGCTTTACCTTCGGTTTTTGTCGGGTGAATTCACGATGAATATATTTGGTGTCACCTTCCTTTTCTCGACATGACATTGATCTTAGTCTTTATTCTTGTCTGGTGAAGCTGTTTTACACCTGTTTTGTTCATTTTTAATATCAAATTTTTATCCTAAGATATTTTATTTTTGTTGTACGTTTGAGTGGCATTATGCAAACTTGTGCTTACATACCCAGGTAGCAGTTTTAATCACCTGTGTACTTCAACCCATCATTAATGACTTTTTCACTACTTAATGAAGAAATCAATCTCGCAAATATATTATTTCCTTTTCTTGCAGTGTCGATATCGATAACGAGTCCGATGTTCCTGTGCTGTTGAAAGATCCTGTTATTGCCAAACTTGCCACAAAATATAATAAAACTCCTGCTCAGGTAGATGTATATTGTGCTTTTTAAAAATCATCATTTGTTTTAACAAGACTTATTTCATACAAATGAAAATGATTAATATTTTCTTTTTAAATCATGTGCATGCAACTTACGTTGATTTTGAATTGTGCAGTTCATATTCAATACTACATACTTTACAGTAAAGCCTGCACGAAAGGTTTGTCCTATTAAAAGTCCATTTGTGTTAAGAATTTCTACTTCCGCATTGAATTCATTCCCGTGTTAATTGAACCTTTATCAGGTGACCGCCTGTAATAAAAGACCATTTTATCGACTTCTTATAGGTGGTCTCTGAAAACATGTTTGGCTGTAGTGGTATATCGTATGCTATTAGCTACTTTATGGTGCTATACGAACCCATTTCATGATGTGATTCATTTTTTCTTCAGATCCTTTTACGGAACTTACTTCAGAGGAATATCATAGTCATCCCGAAGAGTGTAACACCAAGCAGAATTCAAGAAAACGGAAACGTACGCCGACCTCAACTTTCAATAAATTAACAGATTATAATAATCACCTTCACTGCTTAAATATATTTTGATGATCTACTGTTGTATAAAGCAGGACGATGTATTTGTCTGATACTGTTTAAAATAATCTCAAAATGTTGCCGGCAAAGAAAACAACAGGTCTGGGGTGTG